TTTTTACATTAATTAAAATCAATTTACCTTTATTTAAATATACCAAATCTGAGCATAACTTTATAAAAATTAAATCCAATTTGCCTTAAACCAGTTATTTAACAGAAATTTATTGTTTCCCTTTATGAATTAAAAAAAAATTTTAAAGAAAAGATTAATTTCAAGAAAAGCAAGCTAAGCTTCACTATCTTTTTAATAAGCAAGGTTAACTAAAATGTCATTTTTATTTTAAAGTGGAAACAAAACTACCCTACACATACCATGTAATATATACTATTCCTTATCAGCCTCTTGACATAATGGAAATCTATGATAAGACTTTCAGGCATTCTTGGGTAAGGCAACAAGAAAATCGAGAAGGAAATTTTACAAAAGGAAAAACTGAAGATTTGACTTACAACTCCTGATTTGCATTAGAGTTGACACCCTGTGTGGGGAAGGCAACCACAAAAAGAGTAGGGTAGTAAACTGGCCCAATTAACAGAATGTTATACGCTAAGTTGTGTCCCCCCTACAAATTCATACATTGAAGTCCTAACCCCTAGCACCTCAGAATGTGACGTTATTGGGAGACAGGAGATAATAAATTAAAGAGGTCATTCAGAGGTACTAAGAGGTAATAAGTTAAAATGAGGTCATTAGGGTGGGCCCTAGTCCAATATGACTGGTATCCTTATAAGAAGAAAAAATTAGGACACAGACACTCACAGAGGAAAGACCATGTGAGGACATACGGAGAAGATGGCTGTCTACAGGCCAAGGAGAGAGGCCTCAGGAGAAACCAAGCCTGCTGACACCTCAATCTCAGACCTCTAGCCTCTAGAATTGTGAGAAAATAAATTTCTTCTTCTTTTTTTTTTTTTGTGAGGAAGATCAGCCCTGTGCTAACATCTGCCAATCCTTCTCTCTTTTTTTTTTGTTGTTGCTGAGGAAGACTGGCTCTGTGCTAACATCCATGCCCATCTTCCTCCACTTTATATGGGACACCGCCACAGCGTGGCTTGCCAAGCGGTGCGTCGGTGTGTGCCCGGGATCTGAACCAGCGAACCCCAGGCTGCTGCAGCGGAGCGCATGCACTTAACCGCTTGTGCCACTTGGCTGGCCCCAAGAAAATAAATTTCTGTTTTTTAAGCCACCCAGTCTGTGGTACTTTGTTACGGCAGCCTTAGCAAACTAATACACAGATCCACAGAGAAATAGTCTCTTCTCAAAATCACTGACAATTAGGGCCTGGCCCTGTGGCGTTGTGGTTACACACGGCGCGCTCCGCTTTGGTGGCCCGGGTTCATATGTTCGGATCCCCGGCGCAGACCTACACCACTCATCAGCCATGCTGTGGCAGTGACCCACATACAAAATAGAGGAAGACTGGCACAGATGTAAGCTCAGGGCTAATCTTCCTCAAGCAAAAGAAACAGGAAAATTGGCAACAGATGTTAGCTCAGGATGAATCTTCCTCACCAAAAAAAAACCATTGACAATTATATTGGAGTATTACGTTTATGACATATACTGATCACGCTAATATACCATGAGTTATAGATGCATTAATTTTTATGCAGGAGTTCTCTGAAACCTGACAATTACTTTATGGGTTCCTTTAGGGTAAAAAGATTGAGAAAGGCTGTTATAGTTCTTTTCCCCTTTCTTTGAATCTCACCCACTGGGAAATAGTTCTTCAGGATCCAGCTTTGCTGCTCCGTTTCACTCAATGATTTAAGTGCTTACAAAGGAACTATTATGAGCACTAGGCTGGGCACAGGGGATACAATGGTGAACAGGCAAGTCCCTGACTTCAGGAATTTTAGTCCAGTGAGAGAGACATGAAAGCTACTATATTAGGTTTGATAAATACTATGACAGTACTGGAGCACAGGGAAGGGAAATTTAATACTCACAAAGATTCAAGGAAGGGATGAGAAGCAAAGGATGAATAGAAGTTAGCCAAGCAAAGAGGGGTAGGTGCTAGGGATTGTTCTAGACAATGGGAATAGCAAGCACAAAAGCCATGGCAAATATAGTATGCCGTGACCCTGTACTCCGAGGTGGTAGTACTCATTCCTGATGAGGTAAAACCATAGGTCATGATTTCGGGTGGGCTTGGAGATAAGGACAGCACCAACTGAATGACTCGTATAGGAGAGATTAGCATTCTCAAGTGGCCAGGGACCATCTAGGGCTACAATATTTATGCAAAAATTTTATTCCCTCCCAGGCTAAGTAACAGAGGGGGAGAGGCAGATAAGGAACTAGAAGTGATAACAAGTAACAAAGAACAAGAGTGCTAAGAAGCTAGAGAAGAACAAACAATGATGAGATGATCAGGCTCTAATATTGGTCTCCAAAAAACTACAATTACTTGGGGCCAGCCCAGTGGCACAAGTGGTTAAGCGCACGTGTTCTGCTGCGGCGGCCCGGGGTTCGCTGGTTCGGCTCCCTGGCACACACCGACGCACCACTTGTCAGGCCATGCTGTGGCGGCGTCCCATATAAAGTGGAGGAAGATGGGCATGGATGTTAGCCCAGGGCCAGT